GTCCTGTCCTGCACTCTGATTGGTCAAGCAAACCAGGGGCCAGATTCACAAAAAAGAAGTAAAGATTTCTTTTTTAAAAAGAAGTTTGTAAAATGTTCCTCCAGTCCCTGCACCTTGTTTCTGTTTAGAGTCGTGCGTTTCGCTCTGGTTGTTGCTCTTTCCGATGGGATTGTCAGTGACAGGATCGGGTGAATTATGGGAATAATTTAATTCTCAAATCAGTCTGTGAGAGAGAACGAGAGAAAAGGAAATTTCACTCCTCAGGAGCTCATTTTTACTTACTGAGTGCTGGGATGTTAATAACTAGAGCTTTGACATGTAGACGCAGTTCACTGAAATAAATCCCACATGAGAGAAATCTTAAGGTGGAGAAGGCTGTAGAATCAAGAGAAAATATGAAGGAAATCAATTCCAATGACATGAAATTTTGCAAAAGTTGTTATAAGTGCACTATTTACAAACAATTTATGTATGGTATTACAAAAAAATACATGTTAAAAGTGCCCCATTATGCTTTTTGGGGGGTATAACCTTTCATTTAGTGTGTAATAAAGCTGAAAGATCAAAGTGTAGATAAATGAAGTTTTTGTCTCCAAGAAAAAAGAATCGATTTTGAACCGCCTGAAACGAGTCGTCAGTAACGCCAGTCTTCCTGCTCGAACCTATGTATGTTTGTAATTAATTTGCGTAATACCAGCGAAGGTCTTCATTGGTCGCCAGGAAACAAAGTTTGCTTTACCCTGCCCTCAAACACTGTAGTTATAGCTGAGGCTGGAAGTGTTTCAAGAAAACGTGTTTTGTTTGCTGTAAAGTAAATCCACTTTGATGCACTTCTAAAGGATGAGATTGATACGGAGAACAGACGCCATGGTGGTTACTGTTTCTATCACTGTCTATCAGGTACTGAGGAAGATCCGGAGCTGAAATCCATGGTAATGGCCATTTGGTTTATGACACGAGCTAAAAGTGGTTGACCAATCACAACAGACTGGGCCATCTGACCAATCAGAGCAGAGTAGACCAATCACAAAACACTGGGCCATCTGACCAATCAGAACAGAGTAGACCAATCACAAAAGACTGGGCCATCTGAACAATCAGAGCAGAGTAGACCAATCACAATAAACTGAGCCATCTGACCAATCAGAGCAGAGTAGACCAATCAACAGACTGGGCCATCTGACCAATCAGAGCAGAGTAGACCAATCACAATAAACTGAGCCATCGGACCAATCAGAGCAGAGTAGACCAATCACAAAAGACTGGGCCATCTGACCAATCAGAACAGAGTAGACCAATCACAATAAACTGAGCCATCTGACCAATCAGAGCAGAGTAGACCAATCAACAGACTGGGCCATCTGACCAATCAGAGCAGAGTAGACCAATCACAATAAACTGAGCCATCGGACCAATCAGAGCAGAGTAGACCAATCACAACAGATTGGGCCATCTGACCAATCAGAGCAGAGTAGACCGATCACAACAGACTGAGCCATCTGACCAATCAGAGCAGAGTAGACCAATCACAATAAACTGAGCCATCTGACCAATCAGAGCAGAGTAGACCAATCAACAGACTGGGCCAACTGACCAATCAGAGCAGACCAATCACAACAGATTGGGCCATCTGACCAATCAGAGCAGAGTAGACCAATCACAATTAACTGAGCCATCGGACCAATCAGAGCAGAGTAGACCAATCACAACAGACTGGGCCATCTGACCAATCAGAGCAGAGTAGACCAATCACAATAAACTGAGCCATCGGACCAATCAGAGCAGAGTAGACCAATCACAACAGATTGGGCCATCTGACCAATCAGAGCAGAGTAGACCAATCACAACAGATTGAGCCATCTGACCAATCAGAGCAGAGTAGACCAATCACAATAAACTGAGCCATCTGACCAATCAGAGCAGAGTAGACCAATCAACAGACTGGGCCAACTGACCAATCAGAGCAGACCAATCACAACAGATTGGGCCATCTGACCAGTCAGAGCAGAGTAGACCAATCAACAGACTGGGCCATCTGACCAATCAGAGCAGAGTAGACCAATCAACAGACTGGGCCAACTGACCAATCAGAGCAGAGTAGACCAATCAACAGACTGGGCCATCTGACCAATCAGAGCAGAGTAGACCAATCAACAGACTGGGCCATCTGACCAATCAGAGCAGAGTAGACCAATCACAATAAACTGAGCCATCGGACCAATCAGAGCAGAGTAGACCAATCACAACAGATTGGGCCATCTGACCAATCAGAGCAGAGTAGACCAATCAACAGACTGGGCCAACTGACCAATCAGAGCAGACCAATCACAACAGACTGGGCCATCTGACCAATCAGAGCAGAGTACACCAATCAACAGACTGGGCCAACTGACCAATCAGAGCAGAGTAGACCAATCACAACAGATTGGGCCATCTGACCAATCAGAGCAGAGTAGACCAATCACAACAGACTGAGCCATCTGACCAATCAGAGCAGAGTAGACTCTCGGAAAGGAGGGTTTTTGAGAGACCCTTCATCGAACTGTTTTCAGACTCTTTGAGAAATGCGGTGATGCTGAAATGTATATTATAAAAAAAAATATTGTTGACCTTAGATGCATGTTAAGCTGTTGTAGAAGACTCCAAAACACAATTATGAGCCTTTAATATATATATATATATATATATATATATATATATACTGTATGTAAAAATATAGCACAAGTACTTTATGGAAAGATCAGTGACTGTAATACTGTAGATATGTCTCTGTGAAAGCAGCTCTTTTGCTGAATATAGCGTATCGGTCTAGAAAGCGAGAGCGAGCCGCAGTATTCAGTGCTGTCAGACAGTAATGGATGACCAGGGCGGCCCGTAACGTCTGCACAGCGAGATAACACACACTCCTCCTCATACTCTACAGAGAACGCCAGGGATGAAGAACACCAAATAGCACTGAAAGATAGACAGAGATGCGCCTCTGTGTTTTCATTGGTCGAGCTCATGCACATCAAACGGCCTTCACTTTACATTCTACAACATAAATTTGCATTTTTATTACTTCATCCTGAATGAGTGGACAGGACTGGATTTATTCTGTTATATATTTGAGTGTGCGTGTGTGTGTGTGTGTGTGTGTGTATTTACTGCATGGAATGAGTGATGATCAACCCGTCCTTCTGAACTCACAGCTGGAATAAAGGGACAATGATTGATATACACCTGTTGTCCTTTCTGTTGAGGCATTGCACATCTCAAGTGAATAAAAGCCTTCGGTTCTTATTTATTGAGCTCAGGTGTGTTAGTTAGCTATATATTGTCTTAGGGTAACATGAATGCATTCCACAAGATGTGAACAAACCAAACTTTTTGTTGCCAGAAGAATTTTATAACCAGAAGTTGCAGGTTTCAAACAATATGAGATGAACATTCAATTTTGGCTTAACTTTCCTCATCTAAAATTTTATATTCAGTCATTATTTACTCACTCTCATGTTGATCAAAACCTGTATGACTTTATTCTGTGAAACACAAAAGAATATTAAACTTCATACATATTTAGATAATAAATCTTTGTGTGTGTGTGTTCACATTTTTTGGTGAGCTGTCTCTTTAAATTTGCCCTTTTAAAGTCTACTGTGGCTTGGGGTGACGGAAACGGATCAATGAAACTAATAACAGCTGTGTGAGTGATTTATGTTACAGTTATTGAACACATAGGGACATTCTCTAATGAGATCTCTTTAATATCTCAGTTGTTAGGCAGAAGTGAGATTAAATGCAAATCAAATGGAGAATTTCTGTGAGAGATGAGTTTCAGAAGAAATCTCAAAAATGTCTCAAATTGTCTACACATTCATTTTATATCTCTATATTCTTTCTTGATGAATGACAACTATTGACTTGTGTCTGTTTTATTTAACCAAAGGAACTGCAATACATTTCTTTTGATGTCACATTGTCACGGTTAAGTTTGCAGTGTTGCCACATCCACTTATAATTCGGGTTTTGAGCTTGTTGTTTAAGCTTGGCTCATAAAGCCATTAGGTTTATGGAGTTATTAAAGTGAGCTGGTGTGGGTCGTGAAATTTTGGTCTTATTTTTAGCATAAAGTATTTGGATTTATTTCAGATATTTTATATATTTTATTTCTCTCTTGAAACCAACACGGAAGTGACTTAAACTGCAATTCATCGACTGGCCTCTAGAGACAGGCTCCAAAAACGAGTCAATCCCATAGACTCCCATGTTAAAATGCCCAACTTAACAGCAGAAAAAAAACATGTTTACAATCTGGTAGAAAAAGTGATTTTGATCTATATAGCCAATCTTGCCCTTCATGATGACTGAGAGGGCGGTAAATATTTTTATAACTCATCCGTTTAAATGATATTAAGCCTTAAATTTTTGCATAATTAAGGGCGTGGCCACTTGAGTGACAGGTCAAGTGTTTCCACTTGAGTGACTTTCAACATGTAGAAGCAACAGGACTTTTCTGAATGGTTAGTTGATGAATTTATGAAGCTGATGTGGAATTAACTATCTTCTAGTCATTGATTAACATGTTCTGTTACGATAATCTGTAAATCGCGTTCCCGGGGGCGGGGTTTATGTAAATTTTAGGGTTTGTGATGTCACTAACTCGGGAGGAAGCTTGTGTAGTCCCTACCAGCCGTTTATTGTAGTCCTTAAAAATCGACTGTAAATTTGCAGATGTTGTTTATGCTGAAACAGCAACATTACACTCTAACTAGACCCTAACCCTTTAATTCGGTTGTAGAATGCAGTTGTCACTCCAGTAAATGTCTGAACTGTGTGTGTGCAGAACGTAATTAACTGACTACTGAATTTAGCTGTCTTTGTGAATGTGGCTTTAGATGCGATGGGTAACGTCAGTGTGAAAAGCTAGAGATTGTATTATGTCAGTGAATGTCCTCAAAAAGAATGTTTGTAGTATGTGTTTTCATGATGATGATGAACTCCTGCTATTCCCTCTGCAGGCAGTGTGGTGTATCTGGGAATGATGGTGGGAGCGTTCTTCTGGGGCGGTCTGTCAGATAAGGTGGGCCGACGGCAGTGTCTGCTGGTGTGTATGTCAGTCAACGGCTTCTTCGCCTTCCTCTCATCCTTCGTTCAGGGATACGGCACCTTCCTCTTCTGCAGGATGCTCTCGGGATTCGGGTGAGTCTTTCGCTCATGTTCCATGAGGATGAATGGAAGAAAACCATCCATCTTCGGCTTTGATGATCTTTCCTTTACTTACCTAATGCATTGTGGGAAAGGTTACTCAGAGCGTTCTTAAAGGAATACTCCACTTTTTTGGGGAAATAGGCTTATTTTACCACTCCCCCAGAGTTAAACAATTGGGCTTTACCGTTTTCGAATCCATTCAGACGATTTTCTGATATTTAGAAGAATATCAGTAACCAGACCGTTCCTGGTCTCATTGACTTCCATAGTATATTTTTTTCCTACTATGGAAGTCAATGAGACCAGAAACTGTCTGGTTACTGATATTCTTCTAAATATCAGAAAATCGCCTGAATACATTCAAAAATGGTAAAACCCAACTCTTTAACTCTGGGGGAGTGGTAAAATGAGCCTATTTCCAAAAAAAAAGTGGAGTATCCCTTTAAAGGGTTTGTTCACCCAAAAATGAAAATGATGTCATTAATGAGATTTAGTTTGAGAACTTTCTGTCCCTTAATTGAAAATGTACGAACGGTATACTGTCCTTGTCCAGAAAGGAAATAAAGACTTCATCAAAGTAGTCCATGTGAAATCAGTGGGTTAGTTACAATGTTTTGAAGCATTGAAAATACATTTTGGTCCAAAATGAACAAAAACTAAGACTTTATTCAGCATTGTATTGTCTTCAGGCCGGTTCTGTTGTGGATCTGGTGCGGCTGTGAATTCGGGTTCAAATAAATATGGCCAGGCCAAAAAAAGCAAGTCTTCCTCTGTGTGGAAATCCTTAGACATGTTTTTGAAGATTGTTTTGTACAGCGTGCGTCTCCCTCAGACAGTGAACGAAGCTCGGGCGCACCAGACATTACGTCAGCAGCGTCACTGAACGAGGATTGACAACAGAACCGGAAGACAATATGGGCTTGGAACGACATGAGGGGAGTCATTAATGACATAATTTTCATTTTTAGGAGAACCAACCCAGTTCACACAAAAATAAAATTATTTTATTGATTACTCACGCAAACCCAGAAGATTTTTGGGTAACACTTTATTTCAATGGTCCACTTTCTCTTTTTTTCCCACCAGACATTCTGCTAACTATAAGTAACTTTACAGCTGTGTGTAAACTAGCAGTCATTACAGTATTAGTAAACTGTCTGCTTAATATCTGCAAACACTTTTGATGCTCCTCAACAATCATATCGTTCTACTGACTATAAGTAACTTTGCAAGTACATATCAGTTAATTCTACCAATGCCTGGTTCAGATTTCAATTTTTTTTTGTCTGTTACGATAGTCACTGTGTCAGATTATGCGATTTTGACTCCTAAAATCTTGTCGTGTCATGGACAAGACATATGTCAGACTACAGGTTGCTTCCTGACCAGTCATCTCATGCCGTCTTTAACGGTGCGCGTGATATCATCGAGAAGGCGAAACTAGTATCGAGTGACTTCCGGAAACGAACGTAAACAAACAATGGCTGAAGCGGTGAGTGTTGTATTGGCTGTCCTGTGCTCAGAAAAAAAAAGTAAAAAAAGAAAGAAAACCCGACAATGGACACGTTCCTGGATTGCTCGAAGAGGACAGTATGAGCTGTCAATCCTCCTAAGGGAACTTGAGGTAAAATATTGTTTTCTTATATATTTTTACTTTTAGTTTGAACGTTAGCACCATCGTCTCTCTTTCGTTTCGCCATTTTTGAAAGTTGTGTACGGAAAAGCTTCTGTGCTCCTATTGGTCAACCTCATACATGTGACGGAACCGTCGTGGACGACCGTTAAAAAAATTAAACGACTTTTTGTCGTGATGTCGTGAAGAATCGCAGATGTGACGCAGTAGGTTGTCGCCCACTATGGCACACTATACGAGATGATACGATCTTTACGACGCCCGTTGTCGTTTACGAATCCCCACGACATCCTACATCAAACGGATCGTGCCAAAATAGGGCTAAAATCGTGTAATCTGATCCAGGCATAACCCGAATCCTAACCCAACAGTCTGCTAATGGGCTATATGCACGCATAAGTTCCGCATTTGACGCAAGGATGCTCGTCCATTTCCGGTTGTGTAGATTAAAGCGGAGGAAACCGGAGAAAACGGGATTATGGCAGAGTCTTCAATATTTACTGTCCTCCCGTCTTTGAAACGAAACGTACATACGTTTAGATGTAATTTTATATATAGTTATGTTTATTTACTATAATTTTAAAAAGAAGCATAAACACAACGAGGGGTGTCTGTTTTATCTGTTTTTGTGACTAACGTTTCATTAGTATAACCATGGAGTATAAAATTCAATATAAATTCTCGCTATTGCATTGGACTCTATGATCGGCGGAAGTTATCGAGCATCCTTAATCCTTTACCGGAAATAACGCCGTGCATAGTGCCCATACTCTAATGAAAGTTAGTTGACATATAGGTGCAAAGAAAGTTATAGTTAGTAGAGTGTCTAAAGTGGACTTTCGAAATAAATTATAACCCAAAACAAGTCTTATTGGTTTGGAATGACAAGAGGCGGAGTAATCAATGACAGAATCATTGTTTCACTCCTCAGAACGTCAAACCACACACATGACTGATTTATAGTGACTTTTAACATTCAATTTAAAGAAAATCCTGAGGTTCCCACTGGTCTTTATCATTTCTTGATCCCAGACAGCAACATAGTGTCTCCACGTCGTGTATGTACCAGATGTACCAGACACTATTTTGCCGTCTGGGATTATTTGGACCAGAATTGAAATCAGCCTTTTATTTGATGTGATATGGATGTATGAGACCATGCAAGTAGTTAATAATAAACAGTTGTTGTTATGCAAATGAATGCATCAGTGAGTCAATGGTGCATGATAAGTTAATATGTTTTGCAAATGTTTATAGAGCCAAATAAAGTGTGTAAAACACTGCAATGATCTTTTCTGATAATCATAAACCTGCTAAACAAAGGCTTGTTCCTTTTGAATCATCTTCTGATTATATGATCACTCTATCATGTCTGCTGTCTGAGAATAAAACACACACACACACACACACACACACACACAGTCAGTCAGAATGCTGTTCCTGTGTCTCTCTTCAAGCACTTCTGCAATGTCACAGTTGTTTTAACCTCCTGACACAGACCCGTAATGTAAGAGGAGAGAGAGAGGGTTGTATTGCTAACTGAAGTGCAGTGACTCCAGACTGAATCAGTGCTGTGCACATCTGAAGCCGGGGGTCAGAGGTCACAGACTGAAAACAGTACAGGCCCAAAAATAGCTAGATGCGTCACAAAGGAAGAGCATAAGACAATTTATTCATTTTTGAACTTGGCTGATTTTATTTGATGAAATGTATTTACATTTATGTATTTATTTGTGTAATTTAGTCCGTGTTAAAAATAGCACAAAGGAATAACGTGTGAATGAATCCCCTTCCATCATTTTTGATACTTGTTTTATTTGGGGATTATTTAATTAAATGAATCGATTTAAGTAAGCTAATAATGAACACACACACACACATATATATATAGAAATGATGCATTAAGCTGATCAAAAGTGATAGTAAAGACATTTATAATATTACCAAAGAATGTATTTCAAATAAATGCTGTTCTTTTGAACCATTTATTCATCAAACGATCCTAAAAAAAATATTTCCACTTGATAATAATGATAAATGTTTCTTGAGCACAAATCATCATATTAGAGTGATTTCTGAAGGATCATGTGACACTGAAGACTGGAGTAATGATGCTGAAAATACAGCTTTGATCCCAGAAATAAATGACATTTTACAATATATTCACATAGAAAACAGCTGTTTTAAATTGTAATAATATTTCACTATTTTACTGCATTTTTTGATTAAATAAATGCAGCTTTGGTGAGCAGAAGAGACTTCTTTCAACTGTTATTTTTTAAATCAATGTAAATGATTAATTATAAAAATATAAGAAATAAAAAAATTCCTTTGCAGGATTGGCGGGGCGGTTCCCATCGTGTTCTCGTACTTTGCGGAGTGTCTGGCCCGTGAGAAGCGCGGGGAACACCTGAGCTGGCTCTGCATGTTCTGGATGGTGGGCGGGATCTACGCCTCGGCCATGGCCTGGGCCATTATACCACACTATGGTGAGTGACATCACCAATCGACCAATCATAAAGCTGTATATCCAGCCCTTGACCCAATCTTTCACACCCAGAAACAGTAGAAACAGTGATCTGTAAGGCTGCTTTCAGATTTGTTTTCAGTTTGAATAAAATCCTGCTATCCTGCTAGCAGACGGTATCACCCATCAACACCGAACAAGATGCAATATGATGAGAATGCGACAAATGTCTGTGCTGATATGACATAACTGATCCTCTGGGAAGCCTTTCGTGCTCTTCTGCTGAACAGAAAGCCTCTCTGTCCTTCATCATCTCATTATGAGAGGATGATGGGTAATTTTGCGTGGGAGTGTATACGGGGCTGCTGGTGTCCTGCGAGATACTGTGCTGGTAATTGAGGTCAATTGATTAGCGTCTCTTGTTTTAGCACAGTTTCTGTGGTCAGGAGGCAGTGGCGTGTGCTGAAACGGTTCTGCCGCAATGCCTTCATCACTGCAGGAGCGGGCGAGAGGCAGGTGAAGGACTTCAGACTGTGTGTGTGTGTGTGTGTGTGTGTGCTGCACGTCCTCCAACTTTTGTTCTGAGGTAGAAACTTTTACTTTTAGACAGGTGATGCTAGTCTTTTGTTAGCTGGTTGTTTAGCACTGATCTTTTATCTACATGGATGCCATCTGTGGTGGTTAATATGATCATTGTTCCTTTAGTAAGTAGTATAGCCATAAATACGTGTGTAAATATGTTCAGTTGTTAAGCTCTGGTTTAGCTAGTTTGTGATGGGAGCTGGAGCTGCGGTGAATACCGATGTGCTGTGTTATTCACTGTGTTGTGTCTCTCTAGAGTCAGTGGTCCATGAACACACTCCATTACACACATAATCTATATAATGAGATTCTCTATGGTGACTGATAAACACGCACCCGTGGGTTATTCCTCTCTCTCACACACACACACACACACACACATGAAGCGCTGCGGCCTTGTAATGAGGGTTATTGCTAAAAAGTAATCCAGACTTGCTATTTTTTACCTGAAGCACGTGTGGTAAATATTGATCCGTCTGGAGTAAACACATGTGTGAGACGCCACATAATGAACCTTTAGGGTTTATATATGAAACCTATTTACATTTGTTTTATTTATTTATTTATTTTAGTGTATGTGTGTGTGTATGTATGTATGTATGTATATATACAGTGTATATATATACTGTGTATTTATACACACACACACACACACACACACACACACATATACAGTATATATATATATATATATATATATATATATATATATATATATATATATATCAGTGGAGATTTCTTTAAGACTGCAAGGGAAGCTCAGCTTCCCCTATAATGTCAAACAAATAATGATCAAATGTGTACTATTGTGTTAACATTTTAATGAGTAAAAATGTGTTAGAACAGTTCGTTCGAGTTCGTTCAGATTAAGCAACAAATAGCAGGTCGGCTGACTTGATCTCCTTCTCATGCAGCGCCTCCTGTAGCGCGTCACAGTGCATGCGTTTTCCTATGGCATTTCCCCGTTGAAGCTCGGCGTCCATTGACTTCAATGGGGCTGCTTTGAACAGTTTTTTTCAGTGCTGTTAAACTAGATGGTCATTGGATAAATGCTGCGATAGGGAAGTGGGCTGGCCTGGCGTCCGGGCGTCCGCGTGATGATTGGAGGATTGCATCTCCTTTTGATTGACAGTGATTTCACCCAATAAAAAAATCGCTGACGCGGAAGCTAGTTTAAAGACTTCGTGCTCAGTCTCGTCGCGAATTTTGTGTGTATTTTACTCGAAAGACGAACTACTGTAACATATTTCTTAGTATTTGCAATTTTCATCAGATATTTCACAGTTCAACCTAATTCCCACATTTCTTCCGTCGATGTCAGGTGTCTTGTTGTTACATGTGCGGGCGTGGTGTTTGAATCACGGCACATCTGTTTAGTTTGGTTTCACTTTTGTGTTGGGAATGGGATTCGGACATGCATTCTCCGCATGTTTGTTTTCGGTTGTGAGTGCACAGGATGACCTATGGTCGTACTCATACTTGACGTTAGCGTTCTGTCTTGTCGTGTTCGCTCTGTTCAGTGTGTTGTGTATTGTGTGGCACATGGCTTGTGTTTACATCGGCCGCGTGCTTTCATGTCATGTTTTGTCTTGTGCTGTGTAGCACACAGCTTGTGTTTTACACTAGCTGTCTGCTTTCATGTTGTCATGTTCTGTGTGAACACGTGTCTTATGAGTGTTCTCATCATTCTTCAGGTCTCATTTTGTGTGAGCACAATTGCTTTTTAATTTGTTTTATTGGTCATGTGTTTTTGTCATGTTTGGTATGAGCACATGGCTTGTGCTTGTCATGTGTTTGTTGTGCCATATGTGCTTTCCTGTCATTGTGACTCCCATCTTGTTTCCTGATTATTAGTTATTTTGCCCCACCTGTCCTCCCTCGTTACCTGCCTTTTTTTGCTCCCAATTTATTCCCCTTGTTTGTTTTTTGTTTGTTTTTATCAATAAAATAAAGCCCATCAACTCTGCATCAAGTCCTCGCTCTTTTCACCATCCCCACACCTGACAGTCGAGTTTAAAAAAAAAAGAAGAAGAAAAAAGAGCTTCCCCTCTTTGAAAGACCAGCAGCCGCCACTGATATATATATATATATCACTTTACTCCCTAAAAAAATGAACTAGTTTCATTACTTATTTACTTTTTATGGAAAGTATATAAGTATTACTTTTTCCCACCTGGGCTTTCTTTGTTTTGTTTTTTTATTTTAAAAAAAGTGCATTAAAGAAGTACTCCACACATAAAGTTTCAAAGGATATGTCAGTAAATATGGTCATGGATTTGAAGAATACTTAAAAAAAAATACAAATTCATTTTGGTTTATGTTTTTAGGGTACTGTAATTTTCTATTAGGGATTTTAGGAGAAAAATCTGAGATGAACATTATAGTTTTAAATGAGACTTAATTGAGTATACTTGTGTGTCCTGAGCTCTGACAGAGCAGTCTGTGAAATATTAGTGTACATGAAACCGTCTCGGCACATTTGGCTTACTCCCAGTGTACTATCATTGTGGACACTGTATTTCTGATCTTGTATATTGTTTAGGATGAATATAGTATGCAGCGTAAGAGAGAGGGGTTGTGAGTGTGCAGGTTTTAAGGATGTAATAACTTTGGTCTCTGCGGTGATGTTTCTGTGTGTCCCCTACGGCCTCTTACAGCCGAGAGAGAGTAATTTCATTAGAAGCTAGAAGACATTAGTGCTCAGAGACTACAGGGGTGTGTGTGTGTGTGTGTGTGTGTGTGTGTGCAAACTGCAAAGGGTGTAAATATGGGGTGACCAGCACTATGGACAAAACATAGAAAAGAAAATAATAAAAACAATGAAATACAGAATAACAAAATAACACAGAACTGCAATAATTAAATGTTAAATTACACAAATATAATTTATGTATTTAATCTCACTTTATTAATCAATGTCTTTGCTGCTAACCTTTGATGATCCACTGTATATAAATATGTTATAAATGTGTGTAATTTAATTTACAGTATACTGTATATATATATATATATATATTAGAGTTTTGGGAGTTTTTTATGTGTGTATGTAATTATAATTATTTACATATCAATTAAAATATTTATTCAATACATGAATTATGTGAAACTTTAAACTTTCAGTTTCATTCCATTCAGTTCCGGTCCGTTCAGGTCCATTCAGTTCAGGCCCGGTCCGTTCCATTCAGTTCCGGTCCATTCCATTCAGTTCCGGTCCGTTCCGTTCAGTTCAGGTCCGTTCAGAACAGTTCAGGCCCGGTCCGTTACATTCAGTTCCGGTCCATTCCATTCAGTTCCGGTCCGTTCAATTCAGGCCCGGTCCATTCCAGTCCGTTCCGTTCAGTTCAGGCCCGTTCCGTTCCATTCAGTTCTGGTCCGTTCCATTCAGCTCTGGTCCGTTCCGTTCAGTTCAGGTCTGGCCCAGTCTATTCCATTCAGGTCCGTTCTGTTCAGTTCAGTTCCAGTCAGTTCAGTTTAGTTCAATTCAGGCCTGGTCCTTTCCGTTCCATTCAGTTCAGGTCCGTTCAGTTGAGTTCAGTTCCGGCCCGGTCCGTTCCGTTCCGTTCAGTTCAGGTCCGTTCAGTTGAGTTCAGTTCCGTTCAGTTCAGGCCCGGTCCGTTCCATTCAGTTCTGTCCATTCCATTCAGTTCAGGTCCGTTCAGTTCAGTTCAGGCCCGGTCCGTTCCATTCAGTTCTGGTCCGTTCCGTTCAGTTCAGGTCCGGCCCAGTCTGTTCCATTCAGTTCCATTCAGGTTCCTTTCTGTTCAGTTCAGTTCCAGTCAGTTCAGTTTAGTTCAATTCAGGCCTGGTCCTTTCCGTTCCATTCAGTTCAGTTGAGTTCAGTTGAGTTGCGGTCTGTTCAGTTCAGTTAAGTTCAGTTCAGTTCCGTTCCATTCTGTTCAGTTCCAGTCAGTTCAGTTTAGTTCAATTCAGGCCTGGTCCTTTCCGTTCCATTCAGTTCCGGTCCGTTCAGTTCAGTTCAGGTCCGTTCAGTTCAGGCCTGGTCCGTTCCATTCAGTTCCGTTCAGTTTAGGTCCGTTTCATTTCGTTTGTTTTGCTTTGCAGGCTTGGTCCCCCATTATGTAAAACTCCTGAAGACTTTGTACTCGAAAGAGGGAAAACTATTTTTTTTTTAAAGGAGTTTAAAGAAAATTCACCCACAAGGGAAAATTCTATCATCATGTATCTCATTTTGTCTTCAGCATACTTTACTAAACAAACGGTCAGCTTTTGACACACAGTAATGGTGCACAAATCATATGAACTCCTTTTCTGGGGTTTCTGCTGTTTTCTGGAGCTCATCAGCTGTCGCCATCCACCTTCATTGTATTGAAAAGAGCAGTGTGAACATTCTGCAAAGCTTCATTTGTGTCTGAAGTGAGTAAATGATGACAGAATTTTTCTTTAAGCATCTTTTTCTGGTCCAAGGCCTTTCTGTCCTCCAAGGCGTCTCCGTTTGTTCCTCTCCGTTCCCCCGCAGCTGTCCTGTAAGCATCTTGCTCAGCTCCATCGCTCACTGTTTCTCAGTTTCTGAATAAAACACACTCAAACACACACACACACACACACCATATGGTGCCGCTCCGCCTCTAGACATTCTCCGCAGCGTCAGAGAGCAGCAGCCATGTGGAAAATGATACCAACTTTAATGGTTATTTTTCAGTGAGAGTGTTTTTTTCAGCAGTATTACTCCTGCAGGCATTCTTAATCGACTCCTCTTCACACACACACACACAAACACACACCAAACAAACTTATTCACTGTGAAATTTAGTTGCAGAGGCGTTTGTGGAAATCACTTGTGTATTTTGTGTTGTTCTGAAAAGCATTTGCTTGTGTCATCAACAAAACCAAAAAACGCTATGGTACTGTGCAGGGTTACTATTGTAAATAATAATAATCTATAATAATAATCTAATAATAATCTTGTAAATCTACACATACTTTATAAATACCATTGTTTTGGGGATGTTACCATAGTAATACCGTGTTTTTTGGACGAGGTGCATCTTAATACTATTTTACGTAGCGGTTGCACCATTATATTCTTTGAAGTGTCTTAGACGATCATGTAAATAACATGGTTAACAATGGTAATTATGGAGTACAGTAGTTTTATCTTATATCATCATTTTATCATGGTAATGCCACAGTACTTTTTTATTATAATTGTTTTGTGCTTTCAAATTGTACATAAATAACTTCAAATTTTCAATTTCAAATTTCAAACAACTGGTTGAAGTTTAATTTCATGTGCAACACAGAACAAACATATTTTTGACTTCATCTATTTTTGTATTTTCTCTCATCATATGTAGCTTGTTTCCGCCACTGAATAAAAAATATATATATACAGTATATTGCGACTATTTATCTCACAATTGCGAGATATGAAGTCAGAATTATGAGATATTAAGTCGCAATTCTGAGAAATAAAGACAGAATTGAGACTTTTTAGCTCAAAATTCTGTCTTTTTTTCTCACATTCTGACTTTATATCACATAATAGCGAGTTTATATCTCGAAATTCTGACATTTTTTCTCAGAATTGTGAGATATAAACTTGCAATTGCGAGTTATCAGGCCAATTCTAAGAAAAAAAAAAGACTAACTTTTTTCCCCTCAGAATAGTTTATATCTCACAATTCTGACTTTACAACACACAATTTCGACTTTATATCATTCAATTCTGACTTCATATCTTGCAATTCTGATTTTATAACCCGCAATTGCGAATACATTTCACGCAATTCTGACTTTATATTTTGCAATTCTGACTAATATCATCAATTTCTGACTTTATAACATGCAATTGCGTCCAAATTTCACGCAATTCTGACTTTATATCACGTAATTCTGACTTTATATCATGCAATTCTGACTTTATATCTAGCAATTCTGAGAAATAAAGACAGAATTGAGACTTTTTAGCTCAAAATTCAGACTTTTTTTTCTCACATTCTGACTTTATATCACATAATTGTAATTTTATATCTCGAAATTCTGACATTTTTTCTCAAAATTGTGAGATATAAACTTGCAATTACGACTTATCAGGCAAATTCTAAGAAAAAAAGACTAACTTTTTCCCCTCAGAATAGTTTATATCTCACAATTCTGACTTTACGACACACAATTTCGACTTTATATCAATAAATTTTGACTTCATATCTCGCAATTCTAATTTTATAACACGCAATTGCGAATATATTTCATGCAATTCTGACTTTATATTTTGGAATTCTGACTTATATCATCCATTTGTGACTTTATAACACGCAGTTGTGACTATCAATCAATTCTGACTTTATATCTCGCAATTCTGACTTTATATCACGCAATTGCAACTTTAGATCACGCAATTCTGACTTTATATCTCGCAATTCTGACTTTATATCACGCAATTGCAACTTTAGATCATGCAATTCTAACTTTATATCATGCAATTGCAACTTTAGATCACGCAATTCTGACTTTATATCACGTAATTCTGACTTTATATCACGCAATTCTGACATTATATCTAGCAATTCAAAGAAATAAGGACAGAATTGTGAGGTGTAAACTCGCAATTGTGAGAAAAAAAGTCGCAATTACATTTTTTATTTTTCATTCTGTGGCGGAAACAAGCTTCCATAGTTTTGGGCAAATCAAATGAAAGGAATAAATGTAAAAGTTTTTATCTCAGCTGTTTATGGTTGTTTAATGTTCTCTGCTTGTGTGTGTGTGTGTGCAGGCTGGAGCTTCAGTATGGGTTCAGCGTATCAGTTCCACAGTTGGCGTGTGTTTGTGGTGGTCTGCGCGCTGCCCTGTGTCTCTGCAGTCGTTGCGCTCACGTTCATGCCGGAGAGTCCACGCTTCTACCTGCAGGTAATGAAAGTCTGCATGATCACACGTGTGCCTAAGCTCTCCTCTCACCTAAGCTAACGCTACGCCTACGTCAGTCGCCAGAACTCGACTCTCTCGTGAACGCGCGGATATCCGTTACTGGAAACTGGTGATTATAGCTTAGAAAGTTGTAATTATGGATATTTTATTGCACTTCACTTCAAAAGGCCTTCATAACCCCCTGGTTAAAGAACTTTTATGATGGATGGATGCGCTTTTTTGGGCTTCAAAAAAATGTTACCATTCACTCCCGTGATAAGTTTGGAAGAGCCAGGATATTTTTTAATATAACTCTGATTGTGTTTGGCTGAAAGAAGAACGTCATAGTACACTTAGGATGGCTTGAGGGCGAGTAAATCATTTTTGGGTGAACTATCCCTTTAATACCAGGAAAACAAAGAACATGAAGGGAAGGAACACAGCTGACCAATTTAAAGGGCAAAAGAACTACAAAATAGAAACAGGAAACTAAATCAAACTAAACATAAAAGTCCAAATGAGAAACAACATGTGACAATTGTAGTTGTCATCTCTGAACTATTATTTAAATCTGAGGAAAACAGTCAGGGCTAATGTAGTACAATAGTGTTTGCCTGCAATATATAAACTGTATCATCGCACTCACAGCTCTATATATAAAGTTTGATGTATGTCTAACTTAAAGGAGTAGTTCACTTTTAAAAAAAACTTTTGCTGATAATTTACTCACCCCCAAGATGTCCATGTCTTTCTTTCTTCAGTCGAAAAGAAATTAAGGTTTTTGATGAAAACATTCCAGGATTTTCTCCATATAATGGACTTCAGTGGGAACCAAACGGGTCAAGGTCCAAATTAGAGTTTTAGTGCAAACTGCAAACTGTTCTAAGGGCTTTAAACGACACCAGACGATGAATAAGGGTCTTATCAAGCGAAACGCTCAAGCGAAAGTAAATAAAAAAGTTTAAGTTTTATAAGCACAAATGCTCGCCGTGCTCTTGCCGTGCTCGTGACTCTCCTGTTCAAACTCGTTCATCAAAATGAACGAATCTTTTTTCGAGTCATGACTCGAAGGGTCTTTGATAAGACCCTTATTCATCGTCTGGTGCCGTTTAAAGGCATTTGAAGCTGCACTGAAACTGTCTTTTGGACCTTGAACCTTTTGGTTCCCAATGAAGTCCATTATATGGAGAAAAATCCTGGAATGTTTTCATCAAAAACCTTAATTTCTTTTCGACCGAAGAAAGAAAGACATGGACATCTTGGATGACATGGGGGTGAGTAAATTATCAGAAAAAGTTTTTTTTTAAAAGTGAACTTCTCCTTTAATCCACATTACAGTATATTCACGATATGAAGCGATACTACTGTATATAGTGTTATATGTTTATATCGTCACAAAATGTAACTAATTATCGGCCAGCTCTAATCTGCCAAATGTGACTAAAGGCATGAAGATATTATAAATATTAGCATCATGATTTTCTGTAAAGCTGCTTTGAAACAATGTGTCCTGTGAAAAGCGCTGTACAAATAAATGTGACTTGAGGTTGTGTTTTATCTGTGCACACTCTCATCTACAGATGGGAAAACATGACGAGGCGTGGATGGTGCTCAAACAGATTCATGACACTAACATGCGTGCGCGTGGAGAGCCGGAGAAAGTCTTCACTGTGAGTCACACACACTCCCGTCCTCTCTCATACATCAACACACACTCCACCAGCAGTGGGTTAACGAGACCGACCACAGCTAAGCAACTTGACCCTTGACCCCACTCACTCAAACCGTTGCACTGGGAACGTCACGTCTCTCTGTCTCCACCTGCAGGTGAACCGGATCAAGATCCCGAAACACCTGGATGAGCTGGTGGAGATGCAGTCGGAGTCGGCAAACCCTGTGCTCAAAGTCTTATTCCGGATCAAGTGTGAACTGCACGGAGTGAGTGAACGAACCCTCAGATCTCCTGTACACACACACACACACACACACACACCATGTGCCATGGGATTCTTTAATGCAGACTGTGTTTCTAAGGCAGTTTACACCAGCTCTTAAACGTTTGGGGTCAGAAAGATTTTTAAATGCCTCTGAAAGAAGTCTCTTCTGCTCACCGAGGCTGCGTTTATTTGAGAAATACAGTAAAATATTGAAATTCACTTTAAAATGTAATTCCTGTGTCATTACTCCAGTCTTCAGTGTCACATGATCATACAGAAATCACTCTAATATGCTGATTTTGTGCTTAGGATATTTTTATATATACTGTATAGGCTGAAATCAACTTAATCTGGATCAACTTTATTGGCCAAGTATGCAAAACATACAAGGAAGGAATTTGTCACGGGTATAAGGTGTCCCACACGTACATGCAATGTATTATAATAGTTGCAGATTCCAAATACAGTGCTTAGCAGACAACACAACAACAGCAAACATTAATCATCTTTGCCTTTGCTTTTCTTAACTGTGTGATGAAATTAAATCATTTTATACATAAATCACATATGTTGTGCACTTTAGGCATTACTTGACTGTGTGTGTGTGTGTGTGTGTGCAGATCTGGCTCACGTTCATGAAGTGCTGGGATTACCCCATCAGGGACAACACTGTGAAGTTGGCCATCGTGTGGTTCTCGCTGTCGTTTGGGTGAGACCGTTTGGCTCTAATATCCACTGTCTGATTGGCCAGATCGTCCCCTTATTCACGACCCCTGTAGTTACACACATTATCACCCAGCGGAGCCCTGATTATAGTGATCAGTGATAACACAGTGTTTGCATAGCATTTAGAGTACAATATCATCAGATTCTATTCTATTCTATTCTGTTCTATTCTATTCTATTCTATTTGTGTGTCTCAGTCTTGTTCTGCTCCTCTCTGGCACTGTAATGAAGTGTAGTCTCTATAATCACCATGTTTTAAGTAGCTGCCTTGCAGTGACTAGGCCCTGGGGTGGAGCTGCATGAGGGGGACTAGTCTCAGTTTAATTACTGTATTTATTGAAGCTTAAGCCTGGATGGATGGGCTCAGAGACAGAGCTCTGTAGGAGGGCCACACTCTTATGCATGTAATAATCCAATTTACTCATGAAATCACACTAAAAACTCCTTTGGCCTGGCTATTCTTGGACATTCTATTCTATTCTATTCTAAAACCAATAATTCTATTCTAAAAACCAATAGCCCAGCAAACACAGAACATTCCCCTAACATTCCTGAATGGTCCCATGAGGTTATTTTTTGGGAACCAAACAAGAACGTTATAGGAACGTTCCATTTAGGTTATATTTAGGTTCCATTTTTATAACATAAGGAGAATGTTCCGGAAACATTCCCTTAACCTTAAGGGAAAGTTCTAGGAACGTTCTGGGAACCAAAAACTAATGTTCCCAGAATGTTCCCAGAATCTAAATTTGTTTGCTCTAAAACTCTAACCGCAACTCTATAGTAAGTGCATGTAGTTAATTAATATTACTCAGTACTTATTTGTGTAAATAAATGTAACTACGTCACCTTAAAATTAAGTGTAACCACCTTAATAAAGTCATGTCTTCACTCTGGCACAAACTCAAGCTCTCAGACTACAATACAAAATAAAAGCAGATTCACACACACACACACACACACACACACTAATTAAAGAGTGAACAGATGCCTCTATCGCTGCTCGCTGTCAGACTGAAGCCCACCGCTGAGGAGCAGAAATTAATTAACTAAGCACCGGTGTCACCACCTGTGTCACACACACACACACAGAGTAAACAGCACCTCACCGAGCCCTCAAACGCCACCGCTCTGACCTCATGTGCCGCTGATGACATCACTTCCTGTCCACAGTTTCTACGGTCTGTCTGTCTGGTTCCCTGACGTCATCAAGCACCTTCAGGCGGATGAATACGCTTCCCGCGTGAAGATCCACAACAACGAGAGAACCGAAGATTTCACCTTTAATTTCACGCTGGAGAACCAGATCCATAAAAACGGAGTGTTTATCAACGACAGGTGAGTCTGAGTCTGCGCTCTCATTCACATAATAATCATATTATTTTCATATAATGCACATGTGTTACATTTAATGTATTGATTGAACTGAATATCACCTTCAGAGTTTCTTCCATTCAAAATAGACACCATTTAGTTTCTGATGGCATTTTTCAGCCTCTACGTGGAAGTCATTTTGCTGTTTATGATAGTACGAGCCTTTTAATAAATGTGGGAAATTTTTGTTGCTTAATGTCAAACCATGACAGTGTTAAGTTAACAGCTATAGTTTTAAATTTAAATGTTTTTGTCATTTTTAAAGCTACACTGTGTAACTCTTTTAGTTTACTCTTAGCTAAAAACACACAAATATATGTGCTCATTAATGTATATTTACTTCGTTCAAGTAATAAAGTATTCTCGTGAGTGTATAATATGCCATTGAAAATTCATACGGGTAAGGGGTTCTAATGTCGGTCGCCATGTTGCCCCTCCATCTTGAAAGTACATTAGCCAAAGAGGGACATACCCGTTAATTCAAGCTTCGTCTTTCGCGTTTATGTTTGAGTTAACACTCATGGACGAGGTCGAACTGTTATGCCATGTTAATCTTGAACTACATTGGCCACCGTAGGAGTTAAAACGAAATCGGAATCGAGAGGAACAGAAACTAATATTCACTGGATGGTCATATACCTTTTCACCACTAGATGGGGGTAAAAATCACACAGTGTAGCTTTAATTAGATTTAATTTAAAGTATGTCTATAATTCTTTCATTCAATTCATTAATTTGAGTCATTTTAGTTGAGCGATTTAAGTTGAACTTAAAAATGTGATAAATAGCTCAAATAAAATGTATTTTTCATTTTTATTTTGTTTCATGTAACAAAAATGATTTTATAGGTTTTAGTTTTAGTGAACTATTATCGCCCTGGATTACATGCACATCATGTTTCCGATATGAATTAGAATTTGGCAATTTTCTGTACATTTTTTGGCAGTATTGAGTCATGAAACACTGCAATCCAGCTGCAATATTGTGATTTGCCTGTTTTAATGAGAAATTAGTAGCATGTAAACTTGTTCTTAAAATCCAATGAGAGGAAGTAAATGCAAATGCTCAGTCTGCAGGGAATTGTGGGAACTGTAAGATTGTTTGCCAGGTGTTTTCCTTTGGATTATGCTGGAGCACTGTCTTTAGGAGGATAGTCCTGCTCATTTCGGAATGGCATTTGCTGTAGATGTTGATATGTAAATGTATACGCTCATATGTTAATGAGCTCATGGTTTTGAATAATGTCATAATCATGAAGATTTCTTGAGGTTTTTGCAGTTTAGTTTTAGTAAATAAAGCTTTTAATGGGAATTGTTGTGCTGTGGATGTTAGAAATCAAACTCTTATTTCAAAAGAGCAAGAAGAATCCCTTTGATAAAAACGAGAGTTCACTCTGAGAGCTCGTTCTGTGGCGTTGTCTTCGTTCTTCAGATCAAATCTAGAGCTAAACTACATGTGTTTGCAGAAATAGAGCAGATCGTGAGTCTTCAGCTGAGGTCAATGTTTGCTTTCTGTGTGTGTGTGTGTGTGATTGTTCTCTGCGGTCTGGTCGCTCCCTCATAAATAACGTCCCAGTGTGTGTGTGCAATGTCTCATCCAGACACAGGGCCAGGAAATTAAAACACCCTTATCTCTGTCCTCTCCTTTTCTCTTTCTGTCCTCTCTCTTTCTTTGTGTTTATTATGACCGTCCACTCCTTCTCTTTCCTGAAGCAGAAGAAGCTTTTATCGTATTGTTGGAAAGTCCAGCTCCTGTGACACACACACATACTCACACGCACACACTCACATACAAACACGAATATGATTTATAATGAGAGAACTCAACAGATGATAGAAACTGAATGGAGACACGTGTGAGTCCATCATTTAACCCTGTGCTCTCTAGAGCAGTGGTTCTCAAAGTGGGGTCCGCGGACCCCTGGGGGTCCGCGAGCTAAAGCCAGGGGGTCCGCGAAATAATTTACAACCTAACGTTTTTTTCCATGCTATGAGTCATGTTTTCTTTATCATCTGAAAACATGCTGTTTATTCCTAAGTAACTTATATAAAGCATTTAACATAAAACAATACAAAGTAGACACTTAAAGTTTTCTATAGATAGATAATCTATGTCTGTGCGTCAAGTAGACTATTCGCTGCTGTTGATTTTGCGGGACGTGCGCCAGAAAGGAGACAGAGAGACGGCATGAACCCGCATCCGGTTCTTTTCTGTATTTTTATTAAAGGCATGACATTTTGTAGTCATTTATAATGTAGCCTATACACAAATAAAAAAATGGACACTTTACCGTTTCGGATGATGCACTCCTGTCTTATCTATGACCATAAATAAGAGTATTCCTGTTTCCACTGCTGAGGAAAAATTCCCATGTAATTGCGCGCCGGCGTCTCGCGTGCGCGCACAATAGTCAGTTCTAGCACTGCTACTGTAGATTTGACATTAGAAGTCTGATCATTATCAAAATAAAAGTGCATAGTGACAGGGCCGTACCCACAACTGAGGTTGCAAGGATGCACATCGCGATGATACTGACCTTCTCGTCTGAGGTGCTTCAGCAGACTAACAACGATAGCTCGTCAATGTCAAAATGTTTGAGTCGGAGTGAACTCAAAGTTCCCCGCACGACGTTTCAGTCAACGGTCATAAAGTGCGAGATAAGATGTAGGCCTTAATTAACATAAACTAAACAGCTGTTTTAGATAAAAGTTTTAAAAAACGACTGAAACAATCAGTTTGCAAAGTATTAATCAAGCTCAACTTTAACAAAGGAAAAAGCAGGTCAATAGAAACATACTGTGCCCATGAGATTAACATTATGGATTCATATATTTAACATATACTGTATGTTTTTTTTTAGCTAATTACAGTAGCTCAAATTAACAACGCACGCACCTATTAAACATAATGCCATTATCATTGTATTTATAGGCTTATGGGCTTTATTTGTGTGCAGAATAGGCCTAATTATTGAAACATTTCTCTTTTAAGGCCATTCCTGATTGGAATATGTGATTGTGTTTCGTGACATCAAAAAAAAAAAAAAAAAATGTATGCCACTGACTGACATGCTTCTACTAAATCTATAGTTATCCAATTGTGGGGCCTTAAAACACCTTAAAATGCACATGTGTAGAACATCAAGAACATCAAAAATTCCTAAGTAAGGGATCCTAAGTGATTCCTAGCAAGATCACTTTCGTTACCTCAGTAGGCTAGAAATTCCTGCATAGTACCCTGGGTGGAGACCATTCATTTTGTGCAAAAATATTTCATTTGCCGCTCACACATTAACTTTGTGCTCAATAACTGTTATAAATATGAGGGGGGTCCTTGGAATTTTTTTTCCCCTGAAAGGGGTCCCTGGCACCAAAATGTTTGAGAACCCCTGCTCTAGAGGAAGCAGCTGAGATGTGAAAGATCACATGACTGATTCTTGATGTGTAATACTTGTTCTCATTATAAGTGAAGGAGTGATGAAGCCGAGTATTGAGCTCTCGTGTGCTTTATTCCAGGTTTATTGGGATGAAGTTTAAGGCGGTGACTTTCATCGACTCCAGCTTTCAGAGCTGTTACTTTGAGGACGTCAGCTCCATCGGGTCCGTCTTCAGAAACTGCACCATCATAGACGGCTTCTTCTATAACACAGGTACCAGAGCGCCCGAATATACACTTCAGGTCTGACAGGTGATTCAAACAATCATCTTTTGGTGTTTATGTCATTTATCTCAAACATATATAAAAAATATTTTTATAAAATAAATAAAAGTATAAAAAAATAAAAGTATATTAAATTACTTCAATGTATACTATTTTATATTAAAATACACACAATTATAGTTTCAATTATTATTTCAAGTTTTTTATATTTTAATTTTAATGTGTTCTAATATTCTGTATATGTATTTATATTTATTAAATATTTTTATTTTATTTTAATATATTTTTATTAATAAAAAATAAAACATAAATTATAATTAAATTATAAAAATATACATTTATATTTTTAATGCAATATTATGTGTGTGTGTGTGTGTGTGTGTGTGTGTTTGTATATATATACATATATATAATTTTATAAAAAATATATAAATTATATGTATATTTAGTAAATATAAATACATATAGAGTATTTAGAACATATTAAAATATAAAAAATGTATAAATAATACAAACTATACTTTTATTTTAAATATTGTGTGTGAGTGTGTGTATACTATCTATATATAATGAAAAATGTTCAATATCAATTATAATTAAATTATAAAAATATACATTTATATGTTTAATACAATTATAAAAATTATTACATTATTTATATCTATATATATAGATATAAATATAGATACATAAATAGATATGTCTGTGTGTGTGTATATTTTATGAAAAATATAAATTATATGTATGTTTAGTAAATATAAATACATATAGAATATTTATAACATTAATATATAAAAGATTTATAAATAATGCAAATTATACTTTTATTTTAAATATTGTGCGTGTGTGTGTGTGTGTGTGTGTGTGTGTGTGTTTGAAAGGCTAGAACTTAATTTAACTTAACTTAAAAAAACGGAAACTGCACTCTGATTGGCTGTGCAGTGTGTTTGGATCATAGTACTGTGATCAATGGGGCATGAAACTCAACCCTTGTTCCATTTTAGCAAAGAAAAAAAAGAAGAGAAAGGGCTCTTCTGTAGTGGATGTGCGGCGCTCAGAGTGAGTTCTGCAGGAATCAGAGATATCTCACTGCAATCCAACAGAAACCACAGGCTTTGAAGTTCAAATGATTCTAATTTATATGCATTTGAAGGCAAAAAGACAAGCAGATCTATTAGATGAAAAACAGGATGAAAGATAAAAGCAAAGGGCAGTGATTATATAATGAAGACCTGATCAATAAAGGTTCAGTCAATGACATGAATCATCTTTAAATAATTGTAGCAAAGACAGTATAAACATTTCAGGACATGATCAGGTAATGAATCCGTAGAAGTTCTTCACTATCCATAATCCTGAAGATTGATCCACTGGAAGTTACTGTTACCATAGAAACAGGAATTCTGTATCATTTCAAATTAAAATAAAATTTTAAATTGATTGGTTTGGTACAGAATGTTCTGAAAATAATAATGTGGTGAGTTAGTTTGAATTGTGGAGCGTGTGTGTGTGTGTGTGTGTGCGAGAGAGAGAGAGAGAGAGAGAGAGAGAGAGAGAGAGAGAGAGAGAGAGAGAGAACGAGCAGACAGCAATTGGGTCATTTCAGGGCCTGGCTGACTCAGGAAAACCCACCTTACTCACACACACACAAACTCAGACCTCGGCAGAACAAACACAGACACCAGAGAGAGAGAGAAACCTGATGCCTCATGGGAAATTGAGTTCATGTCTGTAATGAAATTAAACGAGTGAAGGCGAGAGATGGAGAAATGCTGCACATGCTCATTCACTAATAGCTTTTCAGAGGTTAAACTCCCTAAAGACACTCCAGTGAGAGAGTGATAGAGTGTGCTTCAAACTGTGACCAGAGGAGGGCACTAAAGTATCTATCTATGTATGTATCTATGAATGTATCTATGTATGTATCTATGTATCTATCCATCTATCTATCTATCTTTCCATCTATCCATCTATCCATCTATCTATCTATCTATCTATCTATCTATCTATCTACTCATCTACTCATCTCCCGTCTGTCTCATCCAGATATCGACGACTCAAAATTCATCGACTCCTCTGTGATCAACTCCACGTTTGCGCACAACAAGACCGGCTGTCAGATGACGTTTGATGACGACTACAGCGCGTACTGGGTGTATTTCATCAACTTCCTGGGAACACTGGCCGTGTTGCCTGGCAACATCGTCTCCGCCCTCCTCATGGATAAAGTGGGCCGTTTGAGCATGTTAGGTGATGACATCACCATTGAACTGCAACTTGACCACATTCTAATTTAGATTTTACATTCTAAATTATTAAAAAAATTGCTTTGAGAACCTAAAAAAGCGCTATATAAATGTAACAAATTATTATTATTATTCTAAATGTCGTTGTCTGGTGTGTGTGTGTGTGTGTGTGTGTGTGTTCAGGTGGCTCGATGGTGTTGTCCGGCATCAGTTGTTTCTTCCTGTGGTTCGGCACCAGTGAGTCCATGATGATCGCGATGCTCTGCCTTTATAACGGACTCAGTATATCAGCCTGGAACTCACTGGACGTGGTGACGGCCGAACTCTATCCCACCGACAGGAGGTACACCGACACACTATCACTAATAAACATGGAGCACAAACATTTATACACATCTCTGAGACTCAAGTCAACTGACAATAATGCATTGACGTCTGTGGAGCGTCAAGATACAGCGAGGGGCGGTTATCATTCACTAAAACTACTACTATTACTATTACAAACTCTACAAATAGTACTACTACTATTACAAACTCTTTTTTTATATATAAATTTACATTTTAGATGAAGAACTTAAGTTGAATGACTAAAAAAAACTGAAAATTTAAGTTGCAATATTACAAAAACCAGGGTTCTCAAGTCTCACGCATTGGCCGTGAGACACACGCATTTCGACCGGTTCACACGCTCACACGCCACACTGTGTATTTCTCAAGCTGAAAAGGCAATGCCAACCAAGTTGTCCTGGCTGAAAGCTTTCTAACATTGTATACGAGGCGCAGGCAAACAAAGTGAAGTTTCCTGCCGCCAGCGCGTATCTCCGCCAGATTGCGTTCGTTACTAGGCAACATATATGCGCGCTGCGTGCACCACTGATCTATAGACGCTTTCATCAGACGCGTTGCCATGGTGATGAGCTGGCCCAAAGTTAACTTCCGTTCTGTTCGTTTATTAGCGTTTACTGGATAATATGGCATTGACTACAAATGCAGTGAAAGTTAAGGTGATGAGCAGGTTGTTAAGCTGTGGGGTGCAACCTGACCTAGGGAGCAAACGCAATTTTAAAAAAATAAAAATGTCAAAATTTCCTATGAGGGAGACAGCGGTATTATAATAGCCTATGTTTATCTGAGTGATAACCGGTACAGTGTTTCCCATACATTTATTTGTGGCAGCCCACCACATTATCAGCGCTGACCGCCACATATTGATTTCCGTGTTTTTAACAATTTAAGATGGGAAAAGTTGTAATTGACCGCAAAGTTGCGTGCAGCGCATATTCGCACGCTCTCTCTCTCTCGCAAACACATTGACAGCGGACCAGTCTGTGTATTGAATGGTTAGTATCATAAACAGCGCTGCACAGATCCATCCAACATGCTGTCAATGTGGAGACCCACCTTAAAAAAAGGTTAGCAAGCATGTAAGATGCCTAGCTAATAAGGAGAGCTATGTTAACCTTATCAAACCCCGCCGTCGCGCTCGCCACAGTTTTTTAACACTGTGGTAAATCAGACACGTCGGTAGAACATCTTGTCTCCAATTTTGTTCAACGGGTCTGGCAGTGTCACATTTCAGTTTGGCCAGGTAACATTTATTTTCTTTGACTGGCAAGAAATACCAGCTACTAGATTATTTACTTGTTATGGATTGTCTCCGCAAGTCTGCCGGAAGTTAAGTTTGGGCCAGATTAATGCACATGCGCAGTACCGTTTGTTTATGTTGTCACTGCTGAAAGCGTCTATACATGACATGTCATTCAGTAGCGCGAACACACGGAAATGGACGGAATATCCTCGGCCACCGTACGTTCGTTACTAGGTAACCAACAACATCGCGCGAACACATGTGTCGTGATGGAGAAGAAGGTAAGTTGGAAGAAGCTCGTCTAACATTTTTGGGCTAGAACATTTAATATGTAGCCCATCGTACATTATTATTGATGCAGTCAAAAACTCTACAACTACTTTGCAACCAGGCTCAGTTTGGCTATCTTACGTTATCTGAAACTAAGAGAAATGTTAGTGGGTATGGAAAGGAATGAAGATTTACTGATTTTATTTTAAATTATATTATACTGTAATATTAATAGTCTTTCTAGTTACATTAAGGATGTATTACAGCAGATTGCTCTGGGTAATATTTAATCATTGTCATAATGTTGCATTTGTATTTTTCAAAGATGTCAGGAAAAAAGCAGAAAGATATTTTGTCATTTTGGGCACCAAAGTGTAAGCCCCCTAAAAAGGTTGCCAGATTAGAGGAGGAGACAGTGGAAGAGGTGGTGCACTCTAATCTGTCCATTTGTTCTCAATGTCCCACCACACAATAAATCATTCGTCTAGATAGAAGACGCATTCAAAAATCAAAATGCAATTTTTAAAGATTTGTTTGAAACTGTTTGGAGCAATTTGTTATATTTTTGGTTAGCTATATTTGTAATACTGCATTAAAGAGTATTTGATGTGATGAATTGCTCTGTCATTTATCAGATTTACTAATTGTTATAATTTTAATTTGTTCTGGTTAATTATGAACAATGGGTAAAATTGGGGGCGGGGATTGGTGGGGCGGGGCTTCATTATGGCTCCTCCCCTAACCGCGTGTGATCTCACTCCAAGCTTTTGCTCAAACTTGAGAACCCTGCAAAAACTAAACAAAATTACAAAAAATGTAAACTAAAGAACTATTTATTACTAATAATAACATATAATAATAGACAAATAGTACTAAATAGATTTGCTACTGTACAGTAATGTTCTTCTGGGTATCGGTTCATTCTAACAATTTAACTAATTAACTAATTTAAAAAAGGACACAGTTTTATTTTAATCATTAAACTGTTGTTATTTTATGTCTTGTTTTTATAGCAAATGCAGAGAAATGCTGCTGTTTCAAAGCAATCATATATTATTATTAACAAAAACAACATCATTTATTTAATTGTATAATTGCAATATGTGTATGACTTATATCTATTATTTATTTATATTTATTATATTGTTAAAGTATAAAGGTTTAGTATAAAAAATACCCTAACTAAAAATATTGCTAGCTCTGCTAATCTTGCTAATACTATTGCTAGTTCTGCTGAAATTGCTAATACTGCTGATATTGCTAGCTCTGCTGATCTTGCTAATACTATTCCTAGCTCTGCTGATATTGCTAGCTCTGCTGATATTGCTAATACTATTCCTAGCTCTGCTGATATTGCTAATACTGCTGATATTGCTAGCTCTGCTGATATTGCTAATACTGCTGATTTGCTAGCTCTGCTGATCTTGCTAATACTATTCCTAGCTCTGCTGATATTGCTAATACTGCTGATATTGCTAGCTCTGCTGATATTGCTAATACTGCTGATTTGCTAGCTCTGCTGATCTTGCTAATACTATTCCTAGCTCTGCTGATATTGCTAATACTGCTAATATTGCTAGCTCTGCTGATATTGCTAATACTATTGCTAGTTCTGCTGATATTGCTAATACTGCTGATATTGCTAGCTCTGCTGATATTGCTAATACTATTGCTAGTTCTGCTGATATTGCTAGCTCTGCTGATATTGCTAATACTGCTGATATCATAGATATGTAAAGGCTATGTGTTACGGCGGAGTTTCCATCGTCATCACCGGCGGCCATCTTGTCACAGACAAGCTGATGTAAGATGAGTGGTCAGCACGAACACAAATACTCTTGTCTCGTGGAAATCTTGACGGATTTACAAACGGTTTGGTTTCTTACAAACGTTATTACAGTTTTTTTTATTCGCTTTGGTACTATTTTCACAAGTAAGGTGTACATTTTCAAAACTCTTAGTACAAAAATCCAAACTGATCACACTTGTAACGCAGCTAGTCATTCTTTCAAAACCTGATGTAATGCTTTCAGTCAGTTGCACATGTTTTCAGTCCACATAATCATTATTTCAAACACAAGATTATTGTAATATGCAATGAGAACATTTGGTTTAATCACTGAAACACAACAATATGATCTTCTTTCATTTTAGTACTTTTAACAATCAGTTCATCCAACAGCAAACAATGCAAGATACTTGTTTCAAATCGGCCTTAGAAGTGCTGAAATGAATATACTACAGTACTATGAAAGACATATTACACAGTTTTACTGTAACATTAGGCAATGCACTTACAGTACCCAACATTTACATAATCTATAATTTCCAAATATCCATCATGTAATCAAGTGAAGGATCAATGAAGACATCCTCTACAATCATTTACAGTATATAGTGGCCAATTGTGGTTACCACTATGTGAAATCAATTAGCTGAGTATTCATCATGTGTGGTTACATGTAATTTACTGTAAATTTTCATACAAACACACATTTTATTTCTGTAGTTCTCAAAATCCATATACTGTATATTGCTGAAATAAAAATCTATAGGTTTACCAAATGATTAATTGATTAACCATTAAGATCTGTTGGATTAAATAATAGACAAAAGTATTAAACTGAACAAAAAGAGATGCAAATCAAAAGTTTGATAGTAAGAGCTTTATGAAAGGCAGTTACTGTGAATGAAACAATAATGTAGATGAAACACTTATTTTGTGTTGTGAAAAGGATACTTTGTGATTGTGTGAATTGTACTAACACAGTTGAAAACATGATGAAATGTTTGAAAAAAGTGCACTTTTGATGATCTGTTGTGATATTAGCACTAAGAGTTTTGAAAATGTACACCTTACTTGTGAAAATAGTACCAAAGCGAATAAAAAAAAACTGTAACGTGGCTATAATTATCTGGATGATTATTTATTTATACACTTTTTATTCATAAGTATGCAGGGTCATAACTACATCTCTGACGTTTATAACAAAACAAACCGTTTGAAAATCGGTAGAAAATTAAGCAAGTTATGGTCCTTTAAATAGTACATGTACCATTAACACAATGTTACGAGTGAGCGAGCTGCCTGTGACAAGATGGCCGCCAGGTGTAGACGTCGACCTCCATTGGCCATCTAGCCTTTATATAGATATCTATGGCTGATATTGCTAGCTCTGCTAATCTTGCTAATGCTGCTAATCTTGCTAATGCTGCGGATCTCTCTGGTCTGCAGAGGAACTGGATTCGGCTTCTGTAATGCCATGTGTAAACTGGCCGCCGTCTTGGGGAATGTAATATTTGGTTCGTTGGTGGGAATCACGAAATCGATCCCGATCCTGTTGGCGTCGACTGTGCTGGTCGGTGGAGGCCTGGTGGGTCTGAGACTACCCGACACCCGCTCCAACGTCCTCATGTGACCCCACTACACCTGTGACCACTGACCCCTGAGCCGCCACGGAAACACGCTCAGGGTGCAGATGGAGCCAGCGGCTGTGATGCGTTTGCTTTCTTTATTAATTCTATTGTTTATTTACTTTTAAACGAATATTAATGAATTTATTTTATTGGTTTAGCTTTTGACTTGCCCAGTTTAGATTAAAACTAGATCATGATGCCTTCGTTGCTGAAATTCAAATGTTATGACGTGTCAAACCGAAACGTGTTTTAGACTGCGAGTTTGTGAGCTAATCTGGGTTGCAAGAATTATTTAAAATTATTTATTTCGAAAATTCAGCAATTTTGTTGTTATTATTTTTTAATTCTTTATTATTTTTAGCTAAACACAAAAAAATCAGGTGATTTTAATATTTTTTTTTATTTTTTAAATCAAAACACTACTTAATTACCTTGAAATGCTCAAACAAGAGTAAAAAGGCCATTTAGAGATGTAGACATTAGCGATAACAGCTTTTATTGGTAGCGTAGGTCCGGGTCTCCGGTGGCCTTTGCAATACGGAGGCAAATCCTCTCCCGTGGCCTCATGGGATAGTAAAGTGTCCATCATACGCACACTTCAGAACAGGAAGTAGTAGATCATCCGGGTTCTTTTTGCCCAGTCTAATTCAGACAAACTTCTTTCGTCACATACTGTTTTTCTCCTACTATATAGTAGGGAAGTATGCGATTTCGGATGCAGCCATTGTCTTAACGAGTTAGTTGTTGAATCATTCAGCCAAACGATTTGTTCAAAACGGCTGATTCGTTCAGGGACAAAGCAGAAACGAGTGAGTCAATCATTAGAACGATTTGTTTAAAAAACACAGATTCACTCAGAATCTGTTTCTCGTGCTTTGGCTCCACTGTTTGGAACAATAGACAATTGTGTGTCTAAAATGTAAGTCACCTAATTAACTTATTATTGATAGAGTTGTTCAGTAAAATCAATATCACATTTGCAAACGAGCTGATATTCGGTAAAACAGCACTGTCAAACGATTAATCGCGATTAATCGCATCCAAAGAAAAGTTTGTGTTTACATAATTACTCTAAAAAATGCTGGGTTGTTTTAACCCAATTTTGGGTAAAATATGGACAAACCCAGCCATTGGGTAAAAAATGTAATTTAAAAATATACTGTAACCCAATGGCTGGGTTTGTCCATGTTTTACCCAAAATTGGGTTAAAACAACCCAGCATTTTTTAGAGTGATATATGTGGGTGCTAGGGTTGGGTATCGTTTGAATTTGAACGATTCTGATTCCGATTCCTTGTTTCGATTCCGGTTCCTAACAATTCTCGATTCCGATTCTTTTAAGAGGCAGGGTCAAAAAAGTTTAGCTAACCTTACTAACCAACGGCCTTTCTGAAGGAAATACTCCTTCTGTAAAAATACTCCTTTTGTCACAAATTTTGCATTTTGCCGAGATTTCGTTATTTTTAGAAAAGTGAAGCCACACTTTGGATCGCCGACGTAAGGTACTCATGTTCGACTCGCGTGGTTATGCCAACACTTCCGGTAGACGCTTCTTCGTTGGTGTTGTTCCGCTCGGCGGACTGTGAATATCGAAACTAGGAATCGAAATTTTACTTTTGAACGATTCCGGGAAAAACTAAAAGTTAGTCTCGGTTCCAATTGATACTCGATTCTCGATACCCAACCCTAGTGGGTGCACTGTGTATAATTATTTTGTATATATAAAAATACACACACATGCATGTATATTTAAGAAAAAAATATTATTTATAAAATATTTATATTTCTAATATAAATTATATATAAATATATGTACAATATATAAATGAAAATATTTTTTTAAATATATACAAGTGTGTGTATTTATATATATAAAATAATTATACACAGTGCACCCACATATATTATGTAAACACAAACTTTTATTTTGGATGCGATTAATCGTTTGACAGCCCTACTTATAAGTATAAAAAACAGGAAATTAGGAGACTTTTTTGCACCATTTCTTGTTTTTTGGAAGCATTTTTTATTAATTTTGGTGGCATTTCTGCCCCAAGCCCCTGTTCATTTCAGACCGTGGCGTGATGGAGGAGTTTATTTCAGCACAAGCGGACTGAGACCCCTCCTGTTGCGATGCCAGTTTCAAGTGAAACGCCAGAAACATTGCAAAGGGCGCTACTGCATTTCTTAAACAAGACGATAGCGATTATCCAGTTTACATTTTCTGATTTTTTATAATAATTTAGCTAGCGGAAGAACTCGCCTCGACTTCATTCTTGCCTTCGTGAACTTTGTCGTCGATGTAGCTGAAACGGTCTTCATTTGTGTCTCTCTCTTGTTGGTTTAAGGGTTAAAGGCGTCTTGATAACCCTAGTCTAGCTGCTACGCTTCCATGTGCGAACTCTTCTTCTGAAAACTGAATGGCCTTTGCTTCCTCTCCGTGCCTCCTTCCTCTTAAATCCCTCCGGTCGGCTTCTCGTAGGTGTAGCGACCCATCGTACAGCAGAACCGAGTGCGTTTTGAATGCTCTACTGCTTGAATAGGTAAAAAAAAAAAAAAAAAGTGGTGTTTCGCCATTTCATCACACTCCACTGGAAATTTCACACATGCAATTGTGCAATATGAGTAGACGTGATACGGCCGCATCATAGAAAATAAAATAATAAAAGCCATTCAGCCTGGTCTGATCTCTTCTGCTGCTGTCTACATGCACTGAAGTACACTAAACAGCAGAAACAAACTACACAAGTCAACGCTGAGACCTTTCAGATGGAGAACTAGAGTGGAAGTTTGTTTCTGGCCTAATTTAATGATATTTTGTCGTGTGTATGTCGGGAAAGTTTAGACAAACACTTGTTTTGAACTTTGACAACGTTTGCTGTACACGTCTAAATGTTGTAAAGTGTTGCCTGTTGAGTTAAAACATTATTTTTTCATGGTCAGATGTGTATGCAAACGTCTCCTCATGTGTATGTGTAGATATCTTGTATTTACTGACATTCATTTCTGTCTATAGGTGTTTATTTGGGCTGGTTGTGTGATTTTTGGGGTGTTATTTGAGCTAACAAGTGTAGTTTTGCAGGTGTTCTGAACAAATTCGGTTTGTGAGAGGAATGAATTCAATATGAAGTTGAACTTGGATGTTTTTTATATTCTTTTCTGAACAAATTCAAGTGGCCTATCTGAAAAATTCCACACAAACAACTGAAACATGGTATCTTGTTAATAAATACACCCGTGCATGTGCATATTGAGATTTGTGTTGCGGTGATTTGTCTGTCGTGCTTTCGCCATGAGTTTATTTCTCAGTTTGAAAGACGAATGTATCATTTATTGTGAGCGTGTGATGTTGTTCTGAAATGGGTTTTGATTGGCTGTGGATCTGGCATGCCAATGACACGTCTGCCGTCACTGCTGGCCAGATTTCTCTGATATATCTGATTTTATTTTGAAAAGAGAGACAAAAGTGTCATGTACAGTGTGAACAGAACTGAAGTGGATCCAGATGTACTGATATTAAAGAGTTTCATTATAAGACTAAAGAGTGTCTGCTTATTTTTTTCCTTTTTCCCAATTTCATTTTTTGTGGAATAAAAGTTGTTACATCCTTCATTCTGTCTCAGAGTGGGATAAAAAGTGTAATATATCATAAAATATCAAATATTCTGTATGAACTGATACTTTGGGTGGAGAATAAACTTGGTCCAGTGGTTTAACCTCATTTTTTTAAGCGACAAGAGTGATTTGTTTGCGAAAAAAAAAATCACAACATTGTCCTCCAACACAAGTTAACGCAACAACTGCTCTTTCCTCAACACAACACACATGCCTTGTGGTGCTCTCATGAACTTGTGTAGTTAATTTAGTTTTTTTATTTGTATGTATTTATCTATTTATTTATTTTTGCACATTACAAATAATAATGCCAAAGGACTCATGTTGCTTCATACAACTTAGTGCATGTATTACTTTTATGTCTTTACTACCTATCTAGGTCTTGAAAGTGGTAGTTGCATAGACTGTCAATGGAGGGACAAAAATCTCTCAGATTTAATAAAAGATATCGAATCGGTTACCTAACGTAACCTCGGTTCTCTCTAGATGAGGGAACGAGTATTGCGTAAGCTAGCTTACGCTATGGGAAAGATTCATCTTTGCTGAGAAGTTGAAGCCAAAAAATTATTCCATAATTTTGTAATCATTGTCAACGCAGTCTCCTCTGAGGCAGACCATGAGCGGGCTAGCTAGCGGCTCCTTGGTTCGCTCAGAGAGAATGCACGAACCTATGGGAGAGCGGCGCTGAGTCCGCGGCCAATGAGCGGACGGCGCTCGCTCACTGCGTCACAGCCCGCCAAAAGGGGCGTGGCTACAGTGTATAAAGGTCGCTCTCCCAGCTCGTTCGTTGATTCTGTAGCATGAAGCGAAACGCTAGTGGCGCAAGCACGGCCGGGAACGCAATACTCGTTCCCTCATCTAGAGAGAACCGAGGTTACGTTAGGTAACCGATTCGTTCTCTTACGAGAGGTTCTCTCGTATTGCGTAAAGCTAGCTTACGCTACGGGAACACCTGGTCAACGCCGTGCGCGCTAAGTAACCACTAAGCATCCCAGGGGAAACACCGGGGGAATCTAAAGTGGATGAAGATAATACGGCGGCCAGCATAGCGGCCGTTATCATCTAGTGCAAAACGCCCAAGGCGGCCGGCGAAGGCGGGCCGTGATGTGTAGGCTAATGCATAAGCACATAGGGGAACACAAGGGGTGAGCCGGTTGTGATGGAACTCCCGATAGTGCGGCTTCTATAGGAGGGCTGTGAGTACTAGACCGCCAGAATTTTAGCCTGTAAGGCTGGAACTTCCAAGTTATAAAACCTGACAAAAGTGGAGGGGAGGCCCATCCCGCAGCCACACAATGTCATGGATGGAAATCCCGCAGGACCATGCCCACGACGAGGCCATGCCTCTGGTGGAATGAGCCCTGATGCCCAGAGGGCGAGGCAGGTCTTTAGCGGCATAAGCAGAGGCAATCGCGTCTACTATCCACCTGGCTAGGGTCTGTTTCGAGGCGGCTAGTCCCTTGGTGCGGCCACCGAACGACACAACAGCTGCTCCGAGCGTCTGAACGCGGCAACGCGTGTAGTGTGCACTCTGATAGCCCGAACCGGGCAGAGGCGGTCAGCGTCTCGTTCGCTATCGGATGCAGGCAGCGCCGATAGAGAGATCACTTGCGCCCTGAAAGGGGTACCAATCGCTTTTGGAACATAACCGTGTCTAGGCTTTAGAATGACTATGGAGTCACTCGGTCCAAACTCTAGGCACGCGGCGCTCGAAGACAGCGCGTGAATGTCCCCCACACGTTTTACTGAAGCGAGAGCCGTCAGAAGAACGGTTTTTAACGAGAGGTATTTTAGTTCCACGGACTCAAGTGGTTCAAACGGTGGGGCTTTCAGAGCTTCTAGAACTATAGAAAGATCCCAGACCGGCACCGTAGGGGGCGAGGGGGGTTCATCCTTCTGGCTCCCCTGAGGAAGCGGATGATTAGCTCGTCTTTGCCCAGAGACTGGGCGCGCCGGGGTTCAACGAACGCCGCGACGGCTGCCACGTAAACCTTAAGAGTGGATGGGGACCTGCCTTTATCCAGCATCTCCTGAAGGAACACTAGCAAAGACGAAACCTCGCACGTCCGTGGGTCCAAATTCTTGTCGGTGCACCATTTGGAGAACACAGACCATTTTGCAGCATAGAGCTTTCTGGTAGAATCCGCTCTGGCGTGTTTGATCGTGTTCAAAACCCCTTCTGGCAATTCGACGCGTAGTCGTTGGTCACCCATGCATGAAGCGCCAGCGCTGTGGATGGGGATGCCAGATCGAGCCGCGGGCTTGAGTGAGGAGATCTGCTCTGATTGGAATGGGCCACGGGGCTGTCTGTGACAGCCGCGTTAGCTCCGGGAACCAATCTGATTCTCCCAGCGCGGGGCTATGAGGAGCACCGAGTGGCGTGAGTCCCTGATTCTCTGAATGACCTGCGGTAGCAGAGAAATCGGGGGAAAAGCATAGAGCGGGCGGCGGGGCCAATCCTGGGCTAGC